GCTTTGTAAACTCTGATACCTTAGAATAACATCAGTAGATCCAATTTTCCTCTGAACTAACCAAATTCAAATGGGTCCATTTGGGTGCTCCTTTCTTCAGGGGCGGCCGCAGCAGCTCGTTACAGCTGGCATGCTATAGGTTTACCTTTCCTGACTCAACCCGGACCCCCTGTGTCAAAGATGCCGACTTTGCTAGCTACCCTACAGAGGGACAGATTTTTATGCAATGAATGAACATTAGGAAAGCATTTCATCATTTCAGTGTTATGGTTCGCTATCTGTTGGTCTGCCGGATAAAATCCCAATAAAATTATATAAAGTATTTGGTTAAAATGTCAGAAATTTTAAATGGCCTAGTGATGGGATGAAAGCTCAAATCTCTACCTCACTTAAAACATCTTTCCTTGTGTCATCAGGACTATGACCTGTGCATTAACTGCTACAACACTAAGGGCCATGAACACCAAATGGTGAAGTGGGGTCTGGGTATTGACGATGACAGCAACAGCCAGAGCGGCGAGGCCTCAAAGAGTCCTCAGGAGAGTCGTCGTCTCAGCATCCAGCGCTGCATCCAGTCCCTGGTCCATGCATGCCAGTGCAGGAACGCCAACTGCTCGCTTGCATCCTGCCAGAAGATGAAGAGGGTGGTTCAGCACACTAAGGGCTGCAAGCGCAAGACCAATGGTGGATGTCCTGTTTGCAAGCAGCTGATTGCATTATGTTGTTACCACGCCAAGCACTGTCAGGAGAACAAGTGTCCCGTTCCATTCTGCCTCAACATCAAGCAGAAGCTTCGTCAGCAGCAGCTGCAGCACCGGCTACAGCAGGCTCATCTGATGCGCCGCCGAATGGCCACCATGGCTGGAAGAGGTATGCCAATGCCATCTCCACCTACCTCAGCTGCCCCTGAAACCCCCAACTCTGTGCAGCAGCCTAGTACGCCCCAGACTCCGCAGCCCATGCCCAGCCACCCCCAGCAACAGCAACCACCAAACCCTGCCAACATGGGCCAAGGATTCCCCAGCAATGGCCGCAGCAGTCAGCCGACGACTCCAGTGCCGCAGGGTAAACCGGGACCGCAGTCCTCCCCCCTTCATCAGCAGCTGTCTCCTATGCCCAACATGCCACATCAGCAGCAGGCTCCTCCTCCACAGCAGCAGCAGCCACCGCAGCAGCACCAACTGCTGGCGGCAATGAAGGTGGCACAGCAGATTGAGATGGCAGCTAAGGTGAGGCAACAACAGCCCAATTATGCCACCAACGGGATGTCTATGAATCCGCAACGCATTATGAACCCCATGCCGAGCCAAATGCAGATAATGCAGGGCCCTCGGGGACCCCAGGTGATGCAGTCTGTACCGCAGTGCCAGTGGGGCGCTGGGATGCAGAATCCCCAAGGCCATCAGCCTCTGGTCCCTCCTCAGCAAGGCCCCATGGCCCCTCAGCCGACTCAAGGAACCCCAATGTCCCAGCAGTCCCCGCTCATGCAGAGACCCATGATGGCGCAGCCGTCGGGTCTTCAGATGCCCGGGGTCATGCCTCCCCAGGGGCCCTCCCAGCAGGGAATGACACCACAGCAGCAAAACATGCCCCGAGGAATGCCTGGAAATATTACTCCAAGTGCCGTGCAGGAATTACTGCACACCCTTAAGTCTCCGAGCTCTCCGCAGCAACAGCAGCAGGTCCTGGCCATCCTCAAATCTAATCCCCACCTCATGGCTGCCTTCATTAAACAGAGAGCAGCCAAGTACCAGGCCAGCCAGGCGCCGCAGCAGCAGCAGGTCCAGCAGCAGAACACACAGGTCATGCTGGGTCCACAGCCAGGGATGCAGGCCATGGCAGCTATGAACCCAATGCAGCGCCCGGGGATGGCTCCTCAACAGCAGCCACCTCAGCCGGTTGGGCCCCAGGGAATGGCACCTATGGGTCCTCAAGGCCAGATGATGAATCCCGCTCAAAACGGCAGCCCTCAGTACCACAGACAGCAGCTGCTTAGGATGCAACAAATGCAGCAGCAGGGAGGCTTGCCTCAGGGCCACGGGCAGTTCCCCCCACAGCAGCAAGGGGCTCCAAACTACTCCCAGCTCCGAGCGCATCAGCAAATGGCTATGCAAGGAGGCCAAGGTCCTATGGGGTCAGTCCCTTCCATGTCGCAGATGGGCCAGCCTGGCATGGGGATGGACGGGATCCCGAACCAGCTCAGGCAGCGTATGATTCAGCATCAAATGAAGCAGCAGATGGGTTCTCCGGCGCAGGGGAACTCCATGAGTCCGCAACCTAATTTGCTGCAAGGCCAAGGCCAGACAGGAGCTCACCTCCAGGGCCAGGCCATGGCAAACACCCTGGGCAACCAGGTTCGTTCCCCGGCCCCAGTGCAGTCACCACGCCCACCTTCACAGCAACCCCCTCATTCCGGTTCCTCGCCGCGGATACAACCTCAGCCTTCGCCACAGCATGGGGCTCTCCACTCCAGCTCCCCTCACCCCAGCCTCGGTCCCATGTCGGGCCCTATGGACCAGGGACACATGGGAACTCCTGAGCAGAGCGCAATGCTCCCACAGCTAAACACGCCAAACCGAGGAGGGCTGAGCAATGACATGAACATGGTGGGCGATACCACAGGAGACACGCTAGAGAAGTTTGTTGAAGGATTATAGCATTTTGAGACAGAAGAAAGCTCTGCTCCAGATTTTTTTTTCTATTTACTGATTTAAAAAAAAGTCTTAGGAGGCCTATGGACTGTGAACTTTCCTTATACCACAGACTCATTTTTCTCTAAACAGAGTGATTTAATAATTGCTGTTGAAAAGAAAACAAAGACAAAGGATATATTTTTGGTTCCGGCCAGCATTGCAAGAATTTGCCCTGGTCTTTGTTGGTTTATTTTATTTTTCTGTTATGATTTGCAATTGAATTTTTAAAAAAACACTTAAAAAAAAAAAAAAAACATCCTATTTTGTACCTTTGCAGATAAATATTGTATTTGTGTTGCGAAGTCTGTAAAGTTGTCTGTGAATTTTTTCGCCAGTTTCTCAGTTTTCCTGTTCCTGGCTAATTTATTCTAATATGCCATTTTATTATTATTCTTTTTGTTTTGTTTTTTCAAAAGGACTGCCTTTAGGAAAGCCTTAATTTCTTTCCTGTTTGCAGAGTTTAAAGGAGATTAACGTATTTGTATAGATCTAGGATACCTATTGCACACACAAACACAACATGCTGGTGGAAGAGAAGCTTGTGTTAAAACTCGTTCATGTTCACAGGTGCCAGAATGTTCTTTTTACCTGGCCCCATCCCAGCGATTGTCTTGCAGATTTTCAAACTTTGCTTTTGTCTGTTCTTTATTCTAAAGAAATTGTCAATAAGTACTGAACCTGTTTTGCCTGTGGTGGGAAATATGTAATTCTTTGACTGCTGATTAGTGTTCGGAGAGTTTTTGTGCAGCATTTTTCTCTCTCATTAAACTTGAATTGATGAGGAACTATTCTCTAATGTAAATCAAGCAGCTAGACAGTACTGTAAATATGCAGAAAATGAGAATGAATTCACTGTATAAACTGGTTCAAATGGCTCATTTCGTACTTATATACCTTATTGTTAAATAAACCTGTGTGCCACAGAATCTGTCTCTAACCTATGACAACCAAATACTAAACTAACCATCGAAGTGCATTATGGGACGATGCTGATTGTCAATTAGCCATCCCTGTTCTTGTCCCATTCATCTATTGGCTTCCACTAATCCAACTGGACCAGATGTAAAACCCAAACATCCTACTTTCTCTGCAGCGCTTTGGCTCTTCCTGTGGAAACGGATACTTGTATATCCAAGTAGTCTCAGAATCCTTAAATGTCTCCACTGGTTCAGGTAAAACGTTTATACTAGATTAAGAGAGAAAAACATTAAAGGTACTATTTAAAACACTACATAAAAAGAAATATGTTCATTTCAAACAAATTTTTAGATATAAAATGAGCAGATAAAGTACTGTTGGTTCCAAAGCTGAGGATCTAGTCCTGGCAACCTGTCAGCAAGTTGCTGACCACCAACCCTGAAAAGTTATCAGTTCTAAAACCATTCAGTGGTTCATAAAACATTATTAATAAATTTGCATATGTCCTTTTGCAAACAGGTCTGGACTATGAAGAAACATTTAAGGTGAGCTGCAGCTGTCTGATGCATTTTTAAATAGATTAAGGTTCATTGCAATAATCAAAACACAAGTAAATTTAAGCATGCACGATTATTTCCCCCTTATTTTGTGGTGTATTAAAAAAAAAAGTTATAGTTATCAACCTTTAAGTTAGTGCAAAAACAAGTCTAACAATACCAGTTTATTATTGGAAAGCCCTTGATCTTTTACAGTGTGGTGTGATGATCTTTAGTCTTGCATCTTTGGACCTGGAAACAATTATTTCTATCTAACTGAGCTATTCACATTAACTCAGTGGCTAATTAAATACATTTCAGTATTCTGCTCATGGATCTTCCTTCATAGTCTTAGTAAGGAGAAAGTGAAGATGTAGAATAAAAGCGGCATAAGTGAGCTTTTAGAAAGCTGAGATTTATGATTTATTTACGGTCGAATCTGCCAACGGGAAATAAAATATTTTCGTAAAGACATTTCGCAGTACAAAGACTTAAGGTGGTCCATTATTTTACCTTTACCTGGGTCAAGCCTAAATAGGCCGTTGACACAAGAACATGTGAGTATTGGACAGTCCCATCTTAGGGTCACAAACTGATTTTGTACAGTTTTATGTAAAAGTTGGCCGACGAAACTGGATTTGCACGGTCTGTAAAGGCAGATTTTGTTTTGTGAAATCCAAACATTCGCTGGTTTTGTATTCCAGTCTAGAATTTAGGGGCCCAACTGGAGCGGTATCCCTTACAATTGAACGTCTACTACTCAAACTATAAAATATAATTGTTTTAAATAAAATATGTATTTTTTTCCAATTCTCATCAGGCAGATTTTCAGATACCTTGATGATGTCATCTTTAAGCGCAGCGCAATCTTCGGTCCTCACCGGTCGGCGTGTGTCCGTCCCTCTGTCTGGTGACCTACTCCGCATTTGGTCCCCCTGCAGGTTTGTCCATCATGTCCCGCTGTCTTGGGCTGGCTCGGTTCGTCCTCGGTTCTTCTCACAGGACCAGTTTGAAGTTAAATTCTTGCACTCGAGGACTTAGTAGCCTCAAATTCTCCGGAGGTACGTGATGTTACGTCAGAACCGTTAGCTTTTAGCCTCGGTGCATCAACTAAACTGTTTTTACTTTGCAACCTTCATCTTCTGTCAGTGAGCCCCAGGGCAGCTGTGGCTACAATGTAGCTTGCCACCATCAGTTTGTGAGTGTGTGTGTGAATGGGTGAATGAATGCAGTGTAAAGCGCTTTGGTCAAGTCTCCTGACTTTACCATAACCATCTTACAAGGTTAGATATTTGATTCTTTTTTTTTTTTTTTTTACATCAAAGCAAAGGCAGAATAAAACACTTGATCTGTCCTGAGTGAGCTTCTAGAAAGATCAAATAACAAATACATATATGAATGTCAATGTTTTAATAGAGAAAAATCTGCTTATCTCAAATGTTTGTTTTTGACAGCGACACTGTAGAAGAACATGTTTTGCAGCAAATGGCAAAACAAAATATGAACATATTAAGCAGAATTAGCACAAAAAAGACATTTTTGATGCAGAAATTTTGCATGCTGGAAAATCATTCATTGGGGAAATAAAAGTGTAAACCACCAAAAAAAAAGCTAAATATAATGAAACTGACTAATAAGAATGCATTAAATGAAGGAAAAAGATTTCGGGTTAGTGGAAGAAAAATCTGCATGGGCTATGAGGATTATTTCAGTATCTTTAAGGATTACAAGATTACTGCTCCTTTTCCAACTTTCCTCCACACTCTGGGAAAAGCAGAACATCCTAATATCCACAACAATTAAATTTTAGTTTTTTCTATTAAAAGGTCTTCTGTCAGAAAACTAATAAACTATGTGAAAAAATCAGAATTAAAAAAAAAAAGAATCCTAACATTTTACAGTTATTGCTAAGAAGTTCAAAATGTAATTTTTATTTTATTTTTTTTTTGTGTAGAATGGCTTTATTTTTCTCTCTAAGCCGTTTTGAATGAACAACAAGGGATTTGGGCTGATTTCTCTTTAATGTAGCTTATCTATATAGAGCCATATTACAACATATGTAATCTCAAGGCACTTTACAGTTCAACCAGATCATACAGTCAATTGATTCAAAGTTTTCTATCTAAGGAAAACCAGTTGATTGCATTGACTCATTAACTCAAAGGCAATCCCTCACACTAAGCATGCTTGTAGCGACAGTGGAGAGGAAAAACTCCCTTTTAACAGGAGGAAACCTCCAGGAGAACCAGGCTCAGTGTGAGCGGCCATCTGCCGAGGCCGACTGGGGTTTAAGGAGACAGAAGCAGAGATACACTATATTGCCAAAAGTATTTGCTCACCTGCCTTGACTCACATATGAGCTTAAGTGACATCCCGTTCCTAATCCATAGGGTTCAATATGACGTCGGTCCACCCTTTGCAGCTAGAACAGCTTCAACTCTTCTGGGAAGGCTGTCCACAAGGTTTAGGAGTGTGTTTATGGGAATTTTTGACCATTCTTCCAGAAGCGCATTTGTGAGGTCGCACACTGATGTTGGACGAGAAGGCCTGGCTCTCAGTCTCCGCTCTAATTCATCCCAAAGGTGTTCTATCGGGTTGAGGTCAGGACTCTGTGCAGGCCAGTCAAGTTCATCCACACCAGACTCTGTCATCCATGTCTTTATGGACCTTGCTTTGTGCACTGGTGCACAGTCATGTTGGAAGAGGAAGGGGCCAGCTCCAAACTGTTCCCACAAAGTTGGGAGCATGGAATTGTCCAAAATGTCTTGGTATGCTGAAGCATTCAGAGTTCCTTTCACTGGAACTAAGGGGCCAAGCCCAGCTCCTGAAAAACAACCCCACACCATAATCCCCCCTCCACCAAACTTTACACTTGGCACAATGCAGTCAGACAAGTACCGTTCTCCTGGCAACCGCCAAACCCAGACCCGTCCATCAGATTGCCAGATGGAGAAGCGCGATTCGTCACTCCAGAGAACGCGTCTCCACTGCTCTAGAGTCCAGTGGCGGCGTGCTTTACACCACCGCATCCGACGCTTTGCATTGCACTTGGTGATGTATGGCTTGGATGCAGCTGCTCGCCCATGGAAACCCATTCCATGAAGCTCTCTGCGCACTGTTCTTGAGCTAATCTGAAGGCCACATGAAGTTTGGAGGTCTGTAGTGATTGACTCTGCAGAAAGTTGGCGACCTCTTCACACTATGCGCGTCAGCATCCGCTGACCCCGCTCCGTCAGTTTACGTGGCCTACCACTTCGTGGCTGAGTTGCTGTCGTTCCCAAACACTTCCATTTTCTTATAATACAGCTGACAGTTGACTGTGGAATATTTAGGAGCGAGGAAATTTCACGACTGGATTTGTTGCACAGGTGGCATCCTATCACAGTTCCACGCTGGAATTCACTGAGCTCCTGAGAGCGACCCATTCTTTCACAAATGTTTGTAAAAACAGTCTGCATGCCTAGGTGCTTGAATTTATACACCTGTGGCCATGGAAGTGATTGGAACACCTGATTCCAATAATTTGGATGGGTGAGCAAATACTTTTGGCAATATAGTGCATGTCAGTTCAAGGTGGTTTCTGTTAAAACTCCCACTCCATCATCAGTCCAATTGGCTTTTCTTCTCCATTCGTTTGTTGCTTGTGTTCCTTTTCTCCTGTCATCTCCTATTACTCAAACGATACCAACAGCCACACTTTATTGGCACATCAACAATCTATTCATAAAATCTTCAGGATTGTTCATACAGATTTTTAAAACTTCTGGTTTAGAAATTTGAACTAAATGCTGCTAAAAAAAATCCAGTGCTTTCCACTCAGAGACACACTACAAAAACAGTTTTCCAAGAAGTAGAATTTTTTTCCTCTGTCAGGTTTAGCTTTAAGTTTTAGGTTTAAGTAATCTGATTTAAGCTTTAAAAATGTCTTTTTATATTTTTGCATATATGTATTACAGTTTTGCCTTCAAACGGAAAAGGTTTTATTAAATCATTAGCAGTATGCTGTAAAATCTGTCTTATTTATTCTCCTAAATAAATGCATTAAAACAGTGAAACAGTTTTAATAATCTCCTCCTGTCATCAGATCCTCCAGTTAGTCAGCAGCAGCAGAGGTGGACCAGGCGACCCACTGTGTGGAGGCCTCTGTGTTTCTCTCCAGGCTTCAGTCGGCAGGCTTACTACAGCACCCAGGAGGTGGAAAAAGAGCCAGAGGAGGAACCTTTACACAACATCATCACTGACACAGAGTCTGTGGAAGGTACCTGGACACTTATTCTCTCTGCTCCTTTAACTATAAATGCTTATAATTTTTTCCCCCCACTCTTTCAATAATTCATTTTATTATTATTATTTTGTTTAGGCAGTTCATCTAAACATGAGTTTCAGGCTGAAACAAAGAAACTTCTGGACATCGTTGCCAGGTCTTTGTACTCTGAGAAAGAAGTAAGAAGTTGTGTGCGATTTGAGAGGTTTTCTGCATCTGTGTTCTTCCGTACCGGTTTCCTGAATGACTTTGTTCACATCAGGTTTTCATCCGGGAGCTGATCTCTAACGGGAGCGATGCTCTGGAAAAGCTGCGGCACAAAATGATCACAGCGGGTGGGGAAACGGCTCCGATGGAAATCCATCTGCAGACAGATGGTGCTAAAGGAACCTTCACCATTCAGGTACCTGCACTTATGCCTGTTGAGTTATTTTGATCACTTTGGAACTGTGTTTTAGTTTATTTTTGTGAGATCTGTTGTTACTGATTAGAATAATTAAATTTATCTCAAGGTTTTTACTGTTTTAATAGATTAAATCTTGATTGGAAACCCTGATCACCTTCAGTCTGACACTAGATGAGCAGCTGGAGTTTATACTTGAGGCTGATTGAAACCAAAATGGTTACTAAAGGACTTTTTGATCAGGTTCCAAATTGTTACTTACCATTGATACATATTATATTTGTATATATTTATAAAATTCATCATTTTTTTAAATTCAGAAAATGCACACATTGCAGTTGAGTCCTCTCAAAGGTGATTTGGAAAATGGTCTGCCACCTGGTGGCGGTGTGTGATACTGCACGCTGCTCTGATGGATGTTTTAGTGAAATGCTCCCCATCTCTGCAACAGGATACAGGAGTTGGTATGAACGAGGAGGAGCTGGTGGCCAACCTGGGAACCATCGCCCGCTCTGGATCCAAGGTTAAAGCGCTGTGGGATCATTAATCAACCGCTTAATGGAAACATGTCAGTGAATTGGAATCTAAATTATTTTTATCCCTTCTTTTTTTACAGGCATTTTTAGATGCTCTGCAGAACCAGGCAGAGGCCAGCAGCACCATCATTGGTCAGTTCGGGGTAGGTTTCTACTCTGCCTTCATGGTGGCAGACCGGGTGGACGTCTTCTCTCGCTCCGCTGAGCCCGATTCCCCCGGATATAAGTGGTCCTCTGATGGGTGAGAGCCCTGAAGCTGCATTAGTTCTGTTTTTCTTCATAACAGCGAAAAGTTCAAACTTCAAATTTACTCTACGGCCGTTTTTCCTCCCTCATTTAGCTCTGGGCTCTTCGAGATCGCTGAAGCGAGCGGCCTTCAGCAGGGAACAAAGATCGTGCTGCATCTCAAAGACGACTGTAAGGAGTTTTCCTCTGAGGACCGAGTAAAAGGTGAAACCAGAGCTGCATCTGGATTGATTCAAGTTTTTTTAAAATAAGTCTAACAGCTTCTTAACTGATGAATCTCTTTCAGAGGTTGTGACAAAGTACAGCAACTTTGTTAGTTTCCCCATCTTCCTGAACGGCCGCAGGCTCAACACTCTGCAGGTGAGCTCCAGCTCTTCTATCTTAAGGATGTCCATTATTATTATTATCAGTTTTTTAATGATGCTTTTGAACTTCCTGGATTTTTCAGGTGTTAAGGTCGAATCAAAATGCTATAATTAAAGAAAACTGTTGCACAGCTTTACACACAGGTTCAAATAAAAACATGTACCACCATTTGTTTTTGGTCTGATGTCTCTAAGTTGCATCCTAAATTAGGAATTTTATGAATAATTTATGAAACAATGAGCAAACTGCTGCTATATTTGATTATTTATCAAAATGTTATCTACAGTTATTTATATTGTTAAATTCTTCCAATACAAATATATGTTTTCCATCGGACTGAGATCGGGACCATTTCAAAAACTTGATATCTCCTGTTTTATGCACTGCAAAACCCTTCAGGTGTGTCTTAGGGTTTATTGTCATATTGGAACATCCCATCGTTCCCACATTTGAATCATAAAGATGTTAATTTGAGGTCAGGTTTAAGAATTTGGAGGTCTTCCACCCACTTGGTGTAATACATGGGTGGCAATGAGATGAACCCTTAGCATGATGCTGCCTCCTCCATGCTTAAAGGTCCTCTATTATGCTAGATATTAAAATAAAAAAATATTAGCCCCCCAGAGCATATTTTTACTATTTGGAGGAAAATTCCTCTGAGATTTGGAAGACGGCATGAAACAGAAAACTCCTCATCCAGCCCTCTTCTAAACAAGCTATTTTGGCCTTCCATGCCCTGACCTCCTGAAGACCGCACCTCAACAACCTGCAACCATGACGACCCAGTCAGTTTGTAAAGATGAACAATCTAAGTACTCTGTGAGCTGTTTGGCAACAAAAATAAATATTTATGTATGAAGAAGTCTAACTCAGGCTTTTAAGAAAGGAAAAAAGACTCTGTGTTCCTTTGTTGTCATTTTTCCTCAAACATGTCTTTTAAAATATATGTTTTTTTTGTCTTCTCTCCTCCAGGCTTTGTGGATGATGGAGCCTAAAGAGATCAGCGACTGGCAGCACGAGGAGTTCTACCGCTACGTCGCACAGGCCTACGATCGGCCGCGCTACACGCTGCACTACCGCGCGGACGCCCCGCTCAACATCCGCAGCATCTTTTACGTCCCCGAAGCGGTGAGCAGTGTTTGTGGGAACTTTTCGTTTCAGTTGAGAAATCAGAAGAAAGATGAAAAGATCCAGTTTCAGAGCTGATGAGGGAAATGTTTAAATAAATGTAACATAGACATATTTTGAGGACCTTTTTTTTAAATGATGATTAAAAAATAAATAGCAATCCTTTATTTTCTGTCTGAAGAAGAGCTTGTTTTCCTTTGACAGAAACCGAGCATGTTCGATGTGAGCAGAGAGATGGGCTCAAGCGTGGCTCTGTACAGCAGGAAGGTCCTGATCCAGACCAAAGCCACAGACATCCTGCCCAAGTGGCTGCGCTTCCTTCGAGGTCAGTGACCTTCCAGACTCTTATCAAGCAGTCACATCACAGACGTCTCAACAGGAAGCCCGGTCCATTAGGGCTGAAACAATTGGATTAATAAGGATTAATAGATTATTGAAATAATCATCAACCAATTGATCGATTAATAGTTAACTGGAGTATAAAGACTACAGCATGCATTAGGCTGACAGAGTGACCTATTTAGAGCTGTAATTATGCCAAGATTGTAAAAATATAAAAATTTTGCATTTGAGTTTAGAAAAAAAATTTTCGTCAATTTTTTCCATCCAGAACTCAAGTGGAAAAGTTTTAATTTCACCTGGTTTAATTTAGTAAATAGCAACCTTTTTATGTCAGATTATTAATCAATAGATCAAAGAGCGCATCAACAGATTAATAATCAATATGATAAGTAATGTTTAGTTGCAGCCTAAAGGGCGGGTTATCCTCCAGCAGCAGTGTGTCGCAGTGAGCTTGACGCAGATATTTTTGATTATGTTCAATATTGAAGCGTGGTCTGAGCTATGTTATTCCACACCACAATGCAAAAGGGGAAAATAACGAAATAGCCGTGGGTCTAGCTATGGCCTAGGCGGTGACGAAATGGAGGGACAACGGAGGGACATGAGGACGAAAAAGAGCGGGGATCCAGGTGGAAAAAGGGTCCCAGCATTCTTGCGCATCTCGCTTTTCACGAATCTTCACGAATCTTTTCCACAATGGCGGTCATACAGACAAAAGAAGTCGGTAAGGTACCAAACAGGAAATACGCATGAGTAGAGCGGATGTAGATTTGACCAATCAGATGCCTCCTGGCTGTGGTATCCTACAGTTTGCGAGAGGTGTACCAGAGAGTCTTCAAAAGGGGGCGGGGACGTATCTGTGTTCACTGCGACCCCTACGCAGATGACCTGGTTTCAAAGTATAAATCAGTCTTTAGTGTTGATGTAACTGTCTGTATTCATGGTTCTAGGTGTGGTGGACAGCGAGGACATCCCTCTAAACCTGAGCAGAGAACTGCTACAAGAGAGCGTCCTCATCAGGTGCACAGAAGTATTTTTTTCCCTTTAATTTCTGACTTTGGTTCATTATCACTTTCTTTATACGTTTGGCGTATTTTTAGATCCTGAAACTTTGCTTCTATTCTTATCTTGTTTTTTTTTGTTTTTTATTCCTTGATCTGAAATGTTTGCATGTTTCTGAAAACCAGACTTCTCAAGCTTGTTTAATTTAGTTTAATTTTTTTTTTTTTTTTTTTTTTTTTTTTTTTTTTTTTTATTAATGCTGCTGCTCTTGCTGCAAATTGTAAAAATCCAGAGGAGAAATCTTCATTTTATATCATCCAGTTGTAGATGACTGTGAAAACTGAAACCTGGAGTTTTCAGAAATGTTTATATTTGCTAAATGATTAGATTTAAAAAAATGTCTTAAAAAAGCTGACAGCTTTGGAAATTTAGACCAGGTAAAAGTTTTGAGTAATGGTAATGTGTTTGTGTGGTGATGTGGATCCCCTCCTGCAGGAAGCTTCGAAATGTTCTGCAGCAGCGAGTGATCCGCTTCCTGCTGGACCAAAACAAGAAGGATCCAGAGAAATACAACAAGTTCTTTGAGGACTATGGGCTCTTCATGAGGGAGGGCATCGTTACCACCCAGGAACAGGACGTAAAGGTGCTACTTTCATCTTTTTCTTTTTTTTTTTTGTGGTCACTTTGTCTGCTAGCGTAGTTCTCACCTGCAGCGTCTGTCGTCGTTATGCAGGAGGACATCGCAAAGCTGCTGAGGTTTGAGTCGTCAGCTTTGCCGGCCGGCCAGCAGACTAACCTGATGGAGTATGGATCCCGCATGAAGGCCGGCACGCGTAACATCTATTACCTGTGTGCTCCTAACCGACATCTGGCAGAGCACTCGCCTTATTTTGAGGCCATGAAAAAGAAGGATATGGAGGTCAGCGTCTGGGTGAAACCGGGCTGGGGGCGTTCTAACGAGGCGAGGAGCTAAACTAAGAGTTGTTTTTGTTTGCAGGTCCTGTTCTGCTACGAGCAGTTCGATGAGCTGACCCTGCTTCACCTGCGGGAGTTTGACAAGAAGAAGCTGATCTCAGTGGAGACGGATATCGTGGTGGATCACTACAAGGAGGAGAAGTTCGAGGACAGCACGCCAGGTTGGCTCCGCCTCCAGGTAGAACCGCCAGCCGTCTGTGGCTCAGCTGTAACCGAGCTGTGTTCTCTGCTGCAGCATCGGAGCGGCTGACACAGGAGCAGGCCGATGACCTGATGGCCTGGATGAGGAACGCTTTGGGTCCCAGAGTCACCAACATTAAGGTAACTGAAGGAGAACTTCCAAAAATCCACCGACTTTCAACTCCTAAAGCCTTTTCCCACTTTCTCATGTTAGAAACACAAACTAAATCCATCTGATTTCCATCATATTGGAGCAACACAAAGAAGCTTGCCATTTTAAAGGAGTCCAAACATTGCTAATATTTCATCAGCTTTGATTTGGAGCTAAAACTATTAACATGATTGTAATAAATTAGTTAATTTAGTAACTGATGAAGAATCATTAACTGGATGATAGAAACTAAAATATGCTCCTATGCGAGAAGAAGAACCCAGACATGATGACCCTCCACTATTTTGTGGTTTTCTGCGCAGCTTTTTAGTCCCAGTGTGTGAAGTTGCCTTCACACTGTGGGTATGAAATGCTCTGTTACTGCTGAGCAGTTGCTCGTTTGTTTACATTTCTTCCATAAAGATCTTGGTTCCTCTCAAACCTTCTAGTTTCACAATCTGTTGAACAGTTTTTTAACACAATGGCTTCAGTGATCTGATTAGCTGTGAGCTCTGGAGCAGTTGAACATCTTTTCAATGACTCCTGAATGTTATCTATAAAATAGCTGAAGCTGAGTCAGTTTAATTGGATTTTCATGTCTTACTATAGATGATTACATGGGAGAGGTTAGAACCTTGACTGCTACATTATCTTGCTCCAAGTTAAACCTCTATCCAGGTTTCAAGTCTTTCACCAGAATCTTCTGAGGTCCGTTTCACTAAGCAGGTTTATACAAACTCAGACTTAAATCCTCAACTTTGACGCAATCTAGCAGGAATCATAACAGCTGCTGTGAGTTAGTTCAATCAACTCTGAACGTGCGTAACAAGTATGAAAAGCCATCATCAGTGGAGCTCTGATTCAATAATCCACCATGGAAACAGGTAACAGGACGTGCCTATTTTACCCCACTGGATCTAGAGATTTTAATGCAGTAATGAAAAAAATGGTGAAATGTGTTTAAAAGACAGAGAAACAGCATTACTGCTGCAAAGAAGAGGAAGATGCCGAATGAGGAGATTGCAGCTTAAGTTAACCTTTTAACATCCACTTCATTTTGGGTAATCCTCGCCTATTTTGCATACTCAAAACCAAATAACTTAGGAATTGTAAGCCCAAATTACATGTGCAATACATTATCTGAAAGCTAAAACCCTCTAGTTTCCTAATATATACATTAAAATTGGATGACTAGAAAACAGACCAACCTGCATCAGTTCAAACATAACTCAAAGTTGTTTTTTTATTCTCGAAAATGATGTTTCTTTTGAACAGCAGTAATAAAGACATTCTTGAGAAAATGCAGGTTTTATTGCATTATATTTGTTCTACATCATGTCAGCCACATATTCAAAAAATTTCAGACCTCTAGCTATAACAGTTCCAGAGCTGTGGGATATGGAACTTTTGGTGTCAGCTTGGAACCGGCGAACCGTTGGGTTTTAAGAGGTTAATGCTTAGGTTATTATATAGTCGTCTATGGCATGCCATTTTTACATTTAATAAAAACACTCTCCTCTCTGTTGTTCCATTTGTAGATCGATAATATAGGATTATTCCAGTCATAAGAAACCTACTAGAAGGTAGATGAAGCACAGTTTTAAGTCATTCTATGGGACTAATGCTGTTTGAGTGGAGTTTTCTTTTCTATAATGATCTTATCACACGTCAATGTTCTTTTGCCGACATCAAGTTCTGTTAAATACCTGTTAAATATGTCTGTACTGCTGCCAATGTGAGAGCCAATGAGGTTGTAGATGGATGTGATGGATTGTGAGGTGAAATGACAGCGCTCATAAAGGTAAAAAAAGAAATAATTTTCTGAATATGAAAGGTACACGGTATGATGACCCTCTCTTTAATATATTTAATTCTCTGTCAATAAATGCTGCTCAGTCTTTAATTGGATCCTTGTCAATGGATATGCTGTTGCTGAGTTTTACTTAAGTGGCTGCGTCCTCAGAAGGCCTGATTCGTCGGCTGATTGTGTAACAGCAAAGCGCCATGGAATCTCGAATTTGAAGACTCCTCATTATGTGGGCGACAATTGCAGCCTTCTTTTTGCCTGTTGTGAAGGACGGGTCCGCTGTATCCTACGTAGCCTTGTGTATGTAGTGATTCATTGCGAATCAAAGCTCAGAAGAAAAAGGTACTTGGTGCCGAACAGTGGTGAATATTGGAAGTTCAGATTAATATAATAAAAGTATGAGAACAGTTCTGTCTGAAATTAATGAAAATTGTTGTTTTAATGGTTACTAAGTCAGATATTTGGCGGATAATGTTTGGTTTATTGAAAGGTTTTTATTTGTTTGCAAATAGGTTTGGCTGACATTAAGGCACAGATGTCAGTGTGGGGGATTATAAATCTGATATTCCCGATGACGATACTGCTGCTGAAGCTCCTCGACAATCTAATTAGCACCCAGAACAGTAGTAAGAAGTTCGGTATCCAGTCTTTGTCTGCTTTGTGTGTCAACGGTAACGGTTGCTAGGCGACATAGTGTACTGGCAGTGAAAGCTGGAGAGTACTGGACCTGTTTGAATCCATAACCAAACTCTTCCGGCCTCCTTATTTTCACAGACGCAGTCCAGATGGACTGCCTCCTTTTAGGATGCAGCCGCTAAAAATCGAGCACACCCTGTGTTTGTGTGTTTAACACCTAATGTGTGTCCGAACGTCCGCCCTAACCCCTAAATAACTATATAGGATGGGCCGCTGTGACAACAGATCCCATAATGCATTCCCAGATATATGTGCTGTTCTAATGATCATGGGTAATCACTACTTTTCAAGGTGCATCATGGGTAATTTTGAGGTTGCTACTTTTTCCTCCACTAGACATTTAGACAGTCAACTAAAATGACCTAACCACTACATAGCGCCCTATATAGTGGTTAAGGTGGACATTCGGACACAGCTTCTGAATTTATTGAAGCAAACCTGCTCCCAACCAGGTTAGGTCTGGGGAGAATGTTACTATGGTAACAGAAACACAGGTTGAGGATATTCTTTGTGGAACAAAAACTAATTTTCCTGATTTAAGGTTTAGAAAACTTGTTTTTAAAAATGGACCCCTGTATTTGGCTTCATCATTCCTTCAAAAACATCTGGTTATGTAAAAATGTGGAAAACCTTTAAGGGGTGTGAATAATTTTGCCGAGTACCCTGATATCTTGAAATTGAAACAAATGTGCTTCTTGTGCCTCTCAGCTGACTCCTCGACTCGACACTCATCCCGCCATGATCACGGTGCTGGAAATGGGCGCGGCCCGCCACTTCCTCCGAACCCAGCAGCTTGCCCGCACTGCTGAGGAGAGGGCCCAGATCCTGCAGCCCACCCTGGAGATCAACGCAGGGTAAGAGAGCCCAACAATGCAGTAAAATAGATTCAACTTTTTCTTTTTTCAAAGTAACTTTCTATCTCCCTATTAGACATGATCTTATCAAGAAGCTGCACTCACTGAAGGACACCAACTCAGAGCTGGCTGGATTGTTACTGGAACAGGTACTTTAGTTTGTTCGTGTCATGTTTTTTTGCAACAAAATGTAAAACCTCTACTGGGAGTGAGCTGTTCTTGATAGAAACGACAGACTGTAAAAAAATAAATCACCGTTTAACATTGCTGCCCCTTTCAGATCTACGACAATGCCATGATTGCAGCAGGCTTGAACGATGACCCACGGCCCATGATATCCCGCCTCAATGAGCTGCTGACCAAAGCGCTGGAGAAGCACTGACCGCTCCCCTCACACTGATTCAGTTTGCGGACTTCCTTGTTGCTGCACCAGCAGGCATGAAAACGAGCTCCAAGAAGCTCCTTCATCTGGTTCTGTGGCGTTTGATACGTTTCCTCCATAATTTGTTTGGACAATCTTCCCGGCTCATTTTTGATGGACTCGCATTCCATTAATGTCGGATAGTTGGAAGGTAGTTTGAATGTTTTCCCATCTAATTCTGAAAGAGCTATACATGGGGATAAGGACTGATGATGACAGCTGCTTATTTTTTAATTATTATTTAAGTGGAAAAAGCAGACCCACTGAAATAAAAAAGGTAAACCCAGAAGTCTTGGAACAATTTTTTTTACTGCAGTCAAAATGTCTCTGCTGTAACCATCAACAACACCAGAAACCTTCTCCTGCATCCAGTCTTTCAGAAAGGCTGCAGTAGTTCTCAGCAGCTTTGGGTTCAGGGTCCCAGAACCATCAGTCCGTTTTCACCACCTGAGCGCGGTCTGAGCCATCACACCAACAGAGCAGGCTTCATTTCCTCTGGGTGAGCTATTCCTTAGTCTTCACCTCCTGACTGGCAAAGAGCACCTGATCCATTCTGGAATGTCAGGATAACTTATCGATGTTTGCTAAGAAGCGCTGGGCCCACCATTCATCCAGATCTATGGGCACAAAGCCTGAAAAGGAGGAAAAGAGTTTTAAGTGACTCGAGTTTAAAAATAAAAAAGTATTTCTTATAATTAATAAAGATAAAAAATGCTTTTTAAAGTCACAATTGGAGTAAAAAAAATTTTGAATGCTTAAAAATGCTAATTGATGAATTAGATTCCTAGATTTGATGGAATTTATTTTGTTTGGTACATTTACTACCATCTAGTGGTCATTATGAGAAACTGCATCATGGAAGTTAAAGGAATAGTACACCCAAAACATGATTAGCCTTCATTTTCTACTCACCCCCATGCTGAACAACACTCTGGAGTACTTTTATGATATCTCAAATGCATCTGGAGATCTGGGAGGCTTCTTGCTGTCTGTTGACATTCAAATAATGGAGGTCTATGGTGACCGAGACAGAAAGGTCCATAAAAGTCCACAAAAACGTGTCAATATTCCTCCATACTGCTCGTCCAATGTATTCCAAGTGTCCTGAGTGGGTAGCGTCCATAATTTACTCGAAACGAAGTCATTTAGAATGTTTTTAGAGCATAAACAGTAGTGTATAGGATTTCCTGAAAGCGCGCACATGCGCGTTCAAGACGCTACGGAAGCCGGCAGACCAAACCAGCGCATTCAGCTCGGCAAAGAACTCATGCTCTTCCTCAACACTGAAGTCCTCAGACATTTTTCTTTCGTTGTTTCTTTCTTTGCACAGGTAAACAGCACATTTCTTCTTCTACGCTTGCATTATTGGCAGAGCAGACGCTGAATGCGCACTTTCATCTGGTTTGGTCTGCCGGCTTCCGTAGCGTCGTGAGCGCGCGTGTGCGCGCTTTCAGGAAATCCTATACACTACTGTTTATGCTCTAAAAACATTCTAAATGACTTCGTTTCGAGTAAATTCTGGATGCTACCCACTCAGGACACTTGGAATACATTGGACGAGCAGTATGGAGGAATATTGACACGTTTTTTGTGGACTTTTATGGACCTTTCTGTCTCGGGCACCATAGACCTCCATTATTTGAATGTCAGCAGACAGCAAGAAGCCTCCCAGATCTCCAGATGCATTTGAGATATCAAAAAAGTACTCCAGGGTGTTGTTCAGCATGGGGGTGAGTAGAAAATGAAGGCTAATCATGTTTTGGGTGTACTATTCCTTTAAGTACGTTTTTTTCAACACTTAAAAATCTGATCCAAGTCAAAACAGTCATATTTTTAAGAACTTTATTTTGGTGTGGTTATTTAGTTTAATTTAATTAACAGCTTTAGTTTATTATCTGACCTCTATAATGGTGTGTTGCATTCATGAAACATAGCCTGCTTTACAATATAAAACACATTTTGTCAGATGATTACTTGAAACAGCAGCTTTGTTGATCCAATAAAAAAAAAAAAAAGTCCCTAAATGATCATTAGGAAATTTCTCTTACAGTCTTATAACACAAAATATATTTATTAGATCTTCGTGTTTACCTTAGTTAAAATAAAAAAAAAAAAAAAACGCTTCATAAATAAACTCCCAAATACAGTTAACTTTAACTAATGGTGACTCTGTGTTTTATTGCCCTCTAGTGGTTATAGCTGGTCTTGCAATAAATGTCAAAGCTGGTAAAAAAAAAAAGCTGTTAAAATATAAAATAACTTACAATCTGCAAGTAATTTATATGAAATACTTTTACATATATCCTTATTACCACTTTTACAACACTTTTTAAATGCATTTAGTATAAAATCCATCAAATCTGCACCTACCTAGTTGAGATAAAGATATTTGATTATTTTACACCTCAAAGCCAAATCTGAATTTTAATGTTTACGTCTTCTAGGCTGTTCTTTGCATTTGTAATGAAACCCTGTAAAACTAGGCCTACAACATGCAGACGAGGCAGAGAAGCGGCTGTACTCACCGTCCATGTGCGGCCCGGGACTGGTTTCTTCATAGTAAACCGCTGCCTGGGAATCTTCCATCCCCTGACCTTCCTGCTGCTCCGTCACCTCCTGCCAGGCTGAACAGAAGCGGCTCAGTCAGAGCAGTCCTTCATAACCATTATAGACACACCTACCAGTTAGGTTCAGAAAGATTAATGAAAACAGTCCTGAGTCAAAGAGGCACACACACAGAGTTTAAAACCAGCAGGACAAAGGCAACTCCAGAGAAATGTTTGGATTTTAAATAATTCAGTGTGCAGCTGCCTTCAGTGTAGTTAATATATTATCTACTGTAGCTGTAGTGCCTTAATACCTTATTTTTCTCCTTACAACCAAAAACTTTAGCGTATTTCTACTAAATAGACAACTGCAATGATTAAGAGAAAACTTCTCTAAATTTTTGGTAAGCAGCTTAAGAATGATTGTCTTAACTTTTCCCTCTGGTGATAGATTAACTATTGGATCAAGATCTGGACTTTGGGCTGTTTTTAAGAGCAAGATTATATTTTGCTTAAAGCCTCAAACAGGTTTTCTTATGATCTTCCATTTACATGCAGAAAAAAGAGATCCCCACAGCATGATGCTCCCTCCACCCTGTTTCATGGTATATTCAGGGGGATGTGAAGCTTAATTTTTCATCCATGCATCTAACCAAGACCTTTTCAAACAGACGTCTGTGAAGCAGTAGCTGCAGTCTCCAACCTGAGCTGCTGATCTCCACAGTTTGTTTGACCTTAAAGGAATAGTACACCCAAAACATGATTAGCCTTCATTTTCTACTCACCCCATGCTGAACAACACTCTGGAGTACTTTTATGATATCTCAAATGCATCTGGAGATCTGGGAGGCTTCTTGCTGTCTGCTGACATTCAAATAATGGAGGTCTACGGTGCCCGAGACAGAAAGGTCCATAAAAGTCCACAAAAAACGTGTCAATATTCCTCCATACTGCTCGTCCAATGTATTCCAAGTGTCCTGAGTGGGTAGCATCCAGAATTTACTCGAAACGAAGTCATTTAGTCACAACGCTACGGAAGCCGGCAGACCAAACCAGCGCATTCAGCTCGGCAAAGAACTCATGCTCTTCCTCAACACTGAAGTCCTCAGACATTTTTCTTTCGTTGTTTCTTTCTTTGCACAGGTAAACAGCACATTTCTTCTTCTACGCTTGCATTATTGGCAGAGCAGACGCTGAATGCGCACTTTCATCTGGTTTGGTCTGCCGGCTTCCGTAGCGTCGTGAGCGCGCGTGTGCGCGCTTTCAGGAAATCCTATACACTACTGTTTATGCTCTAAAAACATTCTAAATGACTTCGTTTCGAGTAAATTCTGGATGCTACCCACTCAGGACACTTGGAATACATTGGACGAGCAGTATGGAGGAATATTGACACGTTTTTTGTGGACTTTTATGGACCTTTCTGTCTCGGGCACCATAGACCTCCATTATTTGAATGTCAGCAGACAGCAAGAAGCCTCCCAGATCTCCAGATGCATTTGAGATATCAAAAAAGTACTCCAGGGTGTTGTTCAGCATGGGGGTGAGTAGAAAATGAAGGCTAATCATGTTTTGGGTGTACTATTCCTTTAAACTTGTTGTGCATAGAGAGGTTTGCAGTTTTCTCTTATGCATGATGGGTTGAACTGTTCCCACAGATCCCTGCAAAGCTTTAGATGCTGTTTTATTACCCAACTGTGTGTTAAAAAGCTCCACCTCTTCCCCACTGACCTGTGCTGCTTGGTCCTCACAGGGATGATTGTTCAAAATGTTTTTTTTTTTTTTAACAAACCTCTTAGCCTTCACAAACAGGTGCATTTATACTCAGGTGGACTCTATTGTGAGACCTCTCAGGAATGTATTCACTGGACTTTAGTTACAGGTGTTCGATTCCTTCCATTTTACCATTATGCACTACTTTGTGTCAGTCTACAAAACACCCATTAAAACACAGTGAAAGAACATAATTGTAATGTGAAAAATCTGAAAAAAACACCAATGGGAATGAAAGCAGTACACTGCAATAAGCAAAATGTCTTAAAATAAGTTTATTTACCCTTTATTTACGGCAAGTAGGTAAATAATATTGAACTGCCATTGGAAAAGACAATTATATATCATGCATTTGAAATAAGAGGCTGCAGTCTTTTCTTGTTTTAGTCTTAAATTGTTTTGTTCCTTTGGCAAAGCGTCTCATTTACTCGTATTTTAAGAATTAATTTGCATAAACATCTTTTTTTGCAGTATATTCTTACAGAGGGGAGATGAAACCTCTTAAAGCCCTTGCCCGATCAACCACAAGGTTGCCAGAGTTGTTTATGGGCCGCTGTGGCAGAGCTTTCAATGTCAAAAACTAGGAGGACAAACAGAAAGCAAAAAAAAAAAAAAACAGCCGAGCTAAGCAATGTTTCCTACAGACAGAGAATGCTATGGTTACAAAGGAGCCTCTCATTCTCCATCCTTCTAAGTAACAGAATCAAATCAAACCCTTTCCCCACCATCAGCACTTGTTGCATGAAGAATAAGAAATGTGGGTGTGGGAGAGTTTCTCTGCTCTATCAGTGTCACAGCAGCTGTGTGGGAGTCACCTTGGAAGAATGAGGAGGAGGAGGTGTTTCAGCTTTTCTCCTTCAAATAAAATCTGATAGTAGCAGAGTTCACAGAAACCAGCAGTGCAGGCAAATAAAGAGGCCAGTTTAGCCTTCCTTACCCTCAGAGACAAACTTGACATTTTCCTCGTGCTCAGGAGAGAAAGCTTCTCCACGCCTGCTGTCTGCAGGGAGCGCCTGAGCAGGCTGATGGTGCTTCTTTCCATTCGGACGGTTAAAAACTATCTTGGGTGCAGAGAGGCTGGCAGGTGGAGACAGAAATAAGAGATCTTCATTCTTACTGCAAGAAAGAAGCAGGTTTCCAAAAGGTGTTGCACTTTGAACCCAAGTTGGAACACGCTTGGCTGAGCAGAAGTCAGATTACAACAGCTGAATGAGAGAGGGAGCATGTGCTGCCAAGGTCACACTGTAACACTCAGGGTCGCTCTGCTGCCTCAAAGTCATCATGTTAACAGGAAGGCAGTCAAGGTGTTTTGGATAAAACTGTTGCCTAAGTTTAGTTTAACAGAAAGGTCCTAAAATAAAATAAAATCAAAATGC